CTTTTAAATTTGCTAGCAACCGCACTCCACACTCTTTTGGACAAATCCGAAGCTTTGAAAAACCAAATAATCTTTTTCTTATAATCCTTCTAGTTGTTGCATCATCCAAGTAATAATACCTCTGATCTTTCATGCAACTGATAGTCTTATTCTTCACCTTCTCCCAAACTGACTTTTGATAGTAATATACATCTTGCCTCCCGTGCTCACTTTCGGTGACATAGAAGTTGACTTGCAACAAAGGGACAATTATGGATGAAAAGAACCAATAAATCCAGCTTTTCAAGACTTTTTGTTTAACAATATGTGCAGCATCATTCAATTTAGGGAATCCTTTATGAATGTCTAATCCTTTTCCACCCACGTCTTTTACTGCCTCATTATTCATGCCGCAGAAATACTGTTTATTTGATAGAAATGGGAACCTAGATGTTTTCAGTTTATGCATACATTGCCGTAAAGAAAAATTTTCAAATCTTCTAAGATGTATGAACTTCGAAATATTTCTCCTCAATATTCTCCAATTAGAAGCAGTTCCTAGCAAATCTGAAGGAATGATTCTCCTACAAACAGCCCATATAAACGAGACCACCTGACTTTTCAAGCAATAAGACTTAATAGCCTCGGAGTGAGAATCAGTAGCATCTGGAGATGAAACACCACAATGCTTGTCCAATAATCTCAAACTATGGCAATGTTGAGCTCTGCGTATGAGAGTCTTAAGCAGCTTAACAAGGGAATGATACCTGAAAAACATAAGCCACCACTTATTGTTCATATATGGACCACAACACACACGCACACACAGGAACCCAACATAAAACAGAGATAAGAAAATGGCTAGAAGACAAGGATTAAAGACCTAACTTGAGCACAATTAATAATTACTCCCAGTCTCCACAACACACACACGCACAGCAGAAACGCAAAAATTAAAACATATAAACAAAGAACTTTAAAAGGATGTAAGATATCATGACCATAGCAATTCAAATAATCATTTCCACATATCGTTAGGCATAACATTTCAGTTTTTGTGCTCCTAGATACAAAACGCAAATAATTGTCGGCAACATATCTATACATAGTCTGGTCCCATCCAGTACAGAACCTATCAGCACAAAGTAGCAAATACTCTTTCATTTACCCCGATGGTATCATTTTGTTAAAGCAATGCCAAAAAAGACCTTTTTCATTTGATTATCCTATGGAAAGGCATATCTTTTAATATACAGAATATTACACCACGTGCTTAAAAATCTAGTGGATTAATAACAATATTTATTACATTTACTGCTGGCTATTAACCAGATTCCTTATTAAAAAATTCTTGTTGAAAGATAGTAGGATACCACTCTGTACTTCCAACGCTAAAACACACTAGGTAGGGTCAAAAGTAAAAATAAAAGCAAAACCATTCAGTATTCCAGAACACCACCAAAATATTATCAAGAATAATGAGAAGCTTACAGGCATGCTGATCCCGTGAGACAAAGACCACTTCCACGAGGACATATATTTGACATAGCACTTTCTGTGTCGGATATGCCAAAAATACTCTTAACAAGAAATTCTGAACCAACAGAATTTGGCTTTAAAGAATTCAGAACATCTGAAGATCATTAAGTGTTATACATTGGTTATCATTTAAAAAATAGAAAAGAAAAACCCTAAGTTTCTTTGGGAAAAATCTTGTAACAGAATAAAGGAAAAGGACAAGACAGCACCATACATGATAGGAAATCATCATTTTCAGGGAAATCAAACATTAGAAAGTCATTACTGCACAAACCGTTGCTGCTCGTGAAATATACTGAGATGATAAGGCAAATTTCTATTCATACAATTTATTGCTGCTTGACAAGATTAGCAAATCCAAAGATACACACATAGATTTCTTATCACTTGGTCTCCATTGACCATGGTCATCAATTGTTAGGTCAACATTGGTGTGTTCAAATTCCAATAAAATATTATTGGATTTTGATCAAACAGTGGGTCACCATAATTTTTTTTGGACAATGGTAATCAAAGATCAGAACTGTGTATTTCAGTATGTATATACATATACACACAAGTACAAAAGGATACGTTTTCTTGGGAAAACTGATGAAGACTGTTCCAAGTTAAAGAACATGAATTTTCTGTCAATTTGAGCCCCTTTGGCAACCTTTCTTGGAATGCGTAACCCCAAACAAGAGCACTGCCAAAGAAAACAAAAATTAAAAAGAAACCACTAAGAAAATTACATGAGAAGGGAAATAACCAGAAAAGAAATTTGATAAAGCTTATAAGCCTCTTCAACATTTTGGACCTTTCATTTTTTATTGAATGATATTGGAGAAGGGGGGATTCCAACATTTTAGAAAAAGTCTGAATGAGAAAACTGTCAGGTTTACCCATGAACCTTTTTATGATGATGAACTGAGCAATATGAAAGCCTGCTAGATAAGCTTTCCTTATCACCGATAATTGTTTTGGAAGGATCCTGAAAGCTGGTTTCTTGAGAAGGTAATAGCCTACGCTTCTTGTGGCGCTGCCAACTAAATGGCCTTGCACGCTTTTTAAGCCTTTGGGAACCCTGTTCAAGTTCCTTATTTAAATCACCTTCATAACTGTCAGTAAACGTGCTGGTTCCATTATGACTATGCTTATCCTTACAAACACTGCAGCAGCCACTGCAGGCAGCAGAACCAATGGTTTTATCACTGCTAAAAGAACTAAGGTGCTGTCTCTTCAACAATGAGTGTACATTATCTTCTCTTTCCCTCTTTTTCCGGGATCCTGAGATAAAGTTGCAAATCCAATCACCAAGTTGTGGTATTTTATCACCCTTTTAAGGGGTGGCGTTAGAGATGAACAACCAAAACAATCAGAGACAAGGAGAGATTACACAAAACAAGTGACTCCATTTGGACACACCACAAATCAACATGCACAAAGAAACACTCTGAGCCCAAACATACCAAGAAAGATCAGGCATTGTCAATACCCTAAATTACATTGAGGGGTAACTAAGATCTGTGATCATGTATATGCTAAAAGATAAGAAATTTATTTTATATCGTAGTCATTATTCACGTCTGTGTGTCTAGAGTTGTAGTATTCATTCATTCTTGAGCTAGCTGTTTAAGATGTCTACTAACCAATTGATTTGTACTTCAATATCATGAGCAGACCAAGAAATAAGAAATTAACACACATGAAAGCTTAAAACCAATGACATGCTGCACAAATTTGATCGTACTTTCATCTAAATACAAGGGATAACTGTACGCAGACGAACTATACTTATCTCCAGATAATCGAAGCTAGGTCACATTTTTCAGTACTTCCCAACATAGTACATTACAATAGAAGCTAATGATTACCATACGACTCAGGCAATGACTGTTGCCACTGTGGCTGCTGCACACGCTTCAACTTCTTCGGACACAACTGACTGATTGGCAGACCTGTGACCTGCTGGTGGTTCGTACGCAGAAGTGGCAAAAATATCGATGCATTCCTTAGTAAATAAACCATAATGCCATCCCCAACCTGTCACACAAAAGTTTTATCCTTTATCAGTTTTAGAATCCATACATAAACTTTCCACACATCATTAATCGCAACTAATCAAAGCGGTTACACGATCATACCCTTTCTAAGAGAAGACACCAAGCCGACGAAGTTAGAAGCTCCACAATGCCGCTTGACTGATTAGACTGCCAAAACATATACAAATCAACAAATACATTTTTTTAAACTGACTATATAATTACATTCCATATAATTAAAATAAATGGTAGAAAAAAGAAGGAGAATTTACCTTATCATAACCACTGCATATCACATTGGAAGACACAGGTTGCTCAACCATCATCGCTTCAATCACTGCTCTAACAATCTGGCCACAAAAGCATGCAATATTTACATTAATAAACAAATTAAAACAACCTAATGAACCCTAAATATATATACACACAGAGCGGTGGATTGCCCTTGTGGATATGGTCTTCCTCTTCAACTCATTGCGTCCCAGTTCAAACCACCCCTCTCTTATTTGTGTAGTTTAGAGTAGTGATATCGCTTTTAATCCATATATGTGTATATAAGTATATACACACACATACATAACATATATACATAAACTAAGAATGTGTATGATTATAAAGTACCTCAATTTGGGACCAGTGAGAGTCAGGGGAAAAGCGGGTGATGGCAGGTGCATTTTTCGCAACCACGACGTATCCATGGTTGAGGAGGTGGCGGTAATCGGAGGGGTCGTCAGGTCGGAGGAGAAACGACAAGCCGTCAGGTGCGGTGCAGCTGAGGCAACGGCGGCCCTTGCAGAAACGACAGTCGGCGGGGACTGACGACGACGAATGGGGAGGGAGCAAGGAGACGATGGTGTCGGACAATGTTCGCGCCCGTTTGCCGAATAGCCTCCGGAGGACCTCCGGAACGCGGCGTTTCCTTCGCATTTTCTTCCGCATTATCGGGACAGCGGACAGTGGAGTGGACTGGATTGGACGGGACGGGACTGTGAAGAGACGAGAAGGACGAATAGTCTTTACGAATTTTAGAAAGTTAATAGAAGTGCGCCATTTTCAGTTCCAAAATATAATTGTGTTCTAAATATGTAAAAGTTACACTAAACTAGGGAGAGGAGTAAAGCTGAGGTAAAATATCACATTATAATTATAGCACTATAGATGATAAATAAGGTCTTGTTTGGTACATCAGATAGGACTATTAATATGGAGGCGGATGTTAGGCGCTCTCTCGTATTAAATTGGACCAGACTAATTTAATTTGATCCGCTTATTTTACACGGCATACACCCTTTTGCTAAAACCGTCCAAAATGGGCGTATTATTTAGTCCGGTCCCTTTCCTTCTCTCTCGCACAAACTGCTCTCTCTCTCTTGAACTCCCTCGTCGTCACCCTTCCCTCCGTCTCCTTCTCTCACCATATCTCTATCTTCTCTCGCACGAACCTCAAGTGGAGTAGATCCTGACAGGCTTTGAGCCTCCACATCAGGCTCAAATTCAAGAAGTACCTGGACAAGGTTAGGCCGACCTTGAGCAACCGCCAAGTGAATCAAAGATTGGCCCTCATAATCCACAGAATCGGCGGCTCTCCATGAAGGTTCGCTCTTCTCGAATATCATTCATCAAACCATTGGACACAAGTTGTGCCAAAATAGGTGAACCAACAAACATATTTTCATCGCACCACCACCGCACAATTTGGAAAGATTTCATCTGGGTTCTAGAACCTTGACTGTGAAATGATGATAAGATTTGAAAATTCGAAAGGATTTCATCTGGGTTTTACGATTTTGCCTGTTTGGGTCAAGAATTGGTAAGGGAGTGAAGGTGTTTGGAAGGGGCGGTGCGGCATTGAGATATGGGGAAGAGATGATTTCATTTTTTTTTCTTTAAATAATTTGAATTCCTCTTATCCGATATAGTACCAAACGCTATATAAATAATACGGTCATTATCCGATATAGTACCAAACACAGTATAAATAATACGGTCATTAGTCTGATACTGCACCAAATGCCCGACTAATTTAGTCAATACCATCCGGTGGCTATTTATCATATCTGACAGAAATAGTTAGTACAGTCCGAGCTGCCAAACGAGGCCTAAAAGAAGGAGGAATAGATGATTTTATTGATTTTTCTTTCTTTCTGTGTGTTTTGATTGCAATCGAATGCTATATTTATAGAGCAATTCGCATTATTACATTTTGAAATTTACATCACATGCCTTTGAAAATACAATCTTGTTGTTTCCAAAGTCTTCATCACATTTATGGGCATTGGAAATCTGTGTGTGAGCATTCATAACAATGTAAATGTTTTCAACTACTAAAGTTTTCAACTGTTGATGTTTTCAACAAATTGAGCTTTTTTGTTGGGAATTTCAAGTTAATTACAACAATTTTGCCTCTTATTCGTTGCTAAGTGAAAGGTAATAAGCTTGATTCTTATCAAAGATAAAAGAGGTATTCATCAATTCCCCCCTGAACTTGTAACTATTGGTCAATTTCCCGCCTCAACTTTAATTTTGGCCAATTTACCCCCTAAACTCTCATAATTAGTCAATTTCCCCCCTCAACTTTAATTTGGCCAATTCCCCCCCCCCCCAACTCTCATAATTATTCAATTTGCACCCTACTGTTAATTTTTTAATTTGATCATAATTAAACAAGTGTGTGTAAGAAACTAAATAAGATGTATGTTAATCATTTTCCTATGTCTTTATCCTATTACAAATAGATTAAAATTTAGAATTTTACAATTTATCATAGATAGTATTATTAGTCATAATAAATCAGCATGGAGTAATTTTATTTGATTTTTTACTATACAAAATTGATAACGAAAAGGATTGATGTGTACATTTTTGTATGTGAATACAATTTTCTTTATAAAAGTGAAAGCTAAGTTCAAGTAGATTGTGGAGAATCGAGCTTTAGTGCAAAAATGGCTAATCAATTCATAATTTTCGACTCCTTATTAAGAATAACACATTTTATTGAAATAGGTCTGATCCATGAGTTTAGGATTATTATTTCTTCTTCTACATGTTTTAAACCCGATTCATAACTTTTTCTTATAATCAACCCATATCACATACTAATTGTATTATGTTTTTTGTACATTTTACCCTATATTATGCATGTGAGTTTATGTTAATTTTAGTACTTTATTGGAAGTTATTAGAAAGATTGAAAGAAAGAAAAAAGAATAGAAGGAAAATTTAAAAAAAAATTAACAGTAGAGTGCAAATTGACTAATTATGAGAGTTGAGGGGGAAATTGGCCAAATTAAAGTTGATGGAGGAAATTGACTAATTATGAGAGTTGAGGGGGGAAATTGGCCAAAATTAAAGTTGATGGGGGGAAATTGGCCAATGATCACAAGTTCATGGGGGAATTGATGAATACCTGTTTGGGCCTAAAATAACAATTTTGGGCCGAGTGTAGGGTCATTCTCGGCCCGGAAGGCCTTGCGACAAGAATACCATGGATCGTTCAGTACGTGGGCCTCCAAACCTAGGTCGGCTAGGTCATAACGCAAGAGGTCGAATCCTAGTGCAATAAGGAGTCTCGACAGAACCCAGAAACGAATCTGGTTCAGTTAAAGGACTAAGTTCACAGTCCTAGTGAAGGTAGGACTGGTCGAGTTGATGCTGATCAGGGGAAGAAAACCTAGTTCGAGTAGGTTTTTAACTCGACCTTGGAGGGGGCCATTGCTATAAATAGAAGAGGTTGCACATCATTCAAGCCCCTGCAAATCAATACAAAATTGCCCTGCGCAAATTCTCACAACTTGTGATTTTTCCTTTTCCTTTTTCGCTGACACATCTTTCGTTGGCATCAACAGCACTGTGGAAGCAACCGGTGATATCTTAAGTCGGCATAGATAGCTCTGTCACCGTAGAGTCAGTCGGTCTCGCAGTACCTTCCGTTGGCATCAACAGCACTGCGGCGAGCACGATTGATTACCTATCCAAGTCTCGGTCGAGAAGGGTTTCTAAATCCTTATTGGTCGAGGTCATCTCATCAGCCTTCTCGGCGAAGTGAGGTGTTACAGTTATTACATTCGGCACATTGAAAGCCGAATTTGATATTGAGCTTCGTAAGAATAGTAACCTTGTCTTCAGGTTCGAGAGCCCAAGAGGCCGAGACGTGTTCCTTTCTCGGCCGCAATCGCAAGACGCAGAAGTCAGTAGCGCGACCCAACGCAACATCAACAAATTTACTCCTCGGTCGAGCTCGGCCGACGAGTTGGCACGCCCCGCATTCCCCGAATGACGTAGTTAGCTTATAGATTACTCGGCCTGCGCGTCACGTATGCTTTGTAGTTTCTAGGGTCAACAATACCTCAAGATAAAATCATATTATTATTAATCTATTGTAAGATTTAGTCCACCCTTCTCTTTTTTTATATTGTTAGTTGAAAAAAAAAATTACAACAATTTTACGGCCCTCCGTGATCGAGATATTTTTTTTGTTGGGCCGACTTATTTGATCATCGGCTTGTGGGTTGTTCCTAAACGGACCGATCGGATCTAACTTAATTTGTGCGGGTGGTGCAGATTGGTCCTACGGCAACTACTATGGCGGATTGGGACCCTACAAAGGCCGAAAAAAAGTGCTTGTGAAGGTTCTTTGGAGATTCATTTTTATGTTTATCAAGTGTTTAATGAAATGTCTTATGGGAATATCAACATTATTTTTGCAAAATATGTTGACAATACTCAGAGCCGGCTTTTAGCAGGTGTGACAGGTTCCATTGCACAAGGCCCCAAAATTTTTTGGGGCCCCTAAAATTATTTTGTATTGAATATAATAATATATAAAATAATATTATATGAAATAAAATACTAATCACATAAATATATATATATATATATATATATATATATATATATATATCTAATGGGCCCAAAAGTCACCTAAAATCTGTGCGGAATTATATAAAATTATAATTAACAAAGTTATGTTGACAAAACTAATCAATTTAAAGGAAAGAACCCCACCGAGGCAAACAATTCATGTCGGAGACTCAGAGTCCATTTTTTTTCTCTCACGAGTCACACCAAAGTCTCATCGTTGCTTCCCACTTTTCTTCCTTCACACCATAATCCTAGACGCCGTCGCTAGTGTCCCACTCTACTTCCCTTCTCTCTTCGTCCCATTGTAGTTGCCTTTACATTTAATAATATTTAGAAACAGATGATTAATGAGTTTTAAAGTTTATTTCGATATTACTTTTTAGCATCAATACATTGTTCAATTTTTTTAAGATGTCTTATAAGAAGGGTCCCTTTATGAATTTCACACAGAACTCCTGAAATCTCAAAGACGATCCTGACAATACTCAGTGATTGCCTTGGCATTAACAATATGAATGCATATGATGATACGCCCACCAAATGCACAGGATCACTTAAAAGAAATTCTGCTACGCGCACAGTTTCTGTCTAAATAAAACTTGATATTTTACATTGGGATTTCCCAAAATTAAAATCTTAGATCCACCATACTACAACTGCAATGGTTGACTTTGTAAGTCTATCCTAATAAGAGTTTGTAGTTGGAAGTCTGTTTTGTATTGACGGTGTCGGGTATTTCGAATTTCAAGTTAACAAATTTATGGGCTTCCATGATTGGGCCGGCTCATTTAATCATCGGATTGTGGGTCGTCACCGGTCGGATGCCTTAATTTGTGCATGTGGTGCAGATTGGGTCCGATGGCGACCGCCATGGTTGGATCCACATAGAAACCCGGATGGTCCTGAGACTTTCAAAGGCCGGGAAAACGTTTGTGAAGGTTTTTCGAGAATCTTTTGAATGTCTGATAGAATGATACGAATATTTTGTGTTCATTAAGTGTTTGATGAAATGCCATTTAGAAATATATCAATGCATTTTAATTGTAGGATGTGTCGACAACACTTGACATAGGGTCTCGACCATAGATTGGCATTTGTCAATATGAACACTTGTAATAATAGGCCTACCCAATGCTCAAGAAATTTTCTAACTGAATATATTTTTTCACAATATGTCCGTCTACCTTTCCAAAACAAAAAAAAAAAAACAAACTTGCGTCTAAATAAAATTTGATGTCTTACATTGGAACTCAAGATTAGAATTCTAGATCCGCCATATTGCAACTGCAATGGCTGACTTTGTAGTCTATCCTAATAAGACCGGTTATGTATTGATTGTGGCTTAATTGAGATTCTCTACAACTACCAGTCTTCTTTTCTAACATCCGAACGCCAAAAGGCCACATGGAAAGTTGGAAACTTTTCTTCAAGAGTCCAGCAACTTGGTGTTAGTTTGTTTCGAACCACATAATCTCAAAGAGCTTTTAAAATGTGTAACATACAATATGACAAATTATAAGCAGAGTATATTACTCTTAAATTAAGCCACAACACCATTATATACATTTTGTTCAATTCCTTTAATATGACAGATTTTTCCTAGCTTGAATTTGTGGCTAATGTTATTTAAACATACTAGAAGTATAGTATTTAGGAAAATAATGATAAGGTTAAGTACGTTCTATACAAGTTTGAAGTGATTTTCAAAATGTGTCACGAGGTTTTAATTTTCTCACATTGCATTATGACGTTTTGAAATCCTATACAAGCCATAAACGTGCTGGAGAGCGACTCTTTACAAGCCATAAACGTGCTCAAAAACCACCGATCGACTCATTTACGTGTTGCTTTGGCTTTCCTTTCTATTGAGTACTTAAATGTTCCTAGAGTTTGTGATGAGATTGCTCATATACTAGCAAAGTTAGCCCTTTCAATTGGCAAAGAAACAGAGGAAACACCTGGTTTTATATAGGACCTCCTCATTCAAGAGTTGGTGTCAATTTCAAGAAATCCTATCATTTTATGTCTTTAGTCATCTTGATTGTACAATCTTTCATTAAATTGAAGACGTAATAAACACGAGACTACTATATAAGTTGTACTGGAAGCTATACTCACATCACATGGACCAAAATTAGTTATCATAAAGCTTTGACATCTCCTCAATCAATTTTTCGTATTCCAAACGGTATAATTGTGCTTCTATACAGCCTGAAAATGAGCCTTACATCTGCTACACAACATAACTTACAATTAAATAGATGAAATGAATAAATGCATTAGAACATCAACAAGATTATCATGAGGAATGAAGCCAAAAAATGAAAAAAATGCCTTATCTTTGAGGGGAAAAAAATGAAATAAAAAAAGAAGAAAAGCAAAAGACTACGCAAACTCAGTCATAGCTTAATCCTTACTCGACTTGGCCCGATCGAATGATAAGGGGCAGCACACTGCACACCCAACTGCAAAATATCAATGCCTCCATCCAACTACCAGTCAGATCCAGACATTTAACACTTTGCTCCTTCCTTTTGTAATCCATCATTTATTTGCTCTCTCTCTCTCTCTCTCTCCCCAATCTCCACTCTCCACCTTCTTCTTTTAATTTCCAGAAACATCGTCTCCAGAACCCTCCTTTTTTGCATCAAAATCTTCAAAACTCAATTGGGTTTCAATCAAAATCCAATCTTTGAGATCATATTTTTGTGGGTTTTGGTTTGAATTGATAGATAGAGGATGGTGTTGCAGTTGCTGTTAACAGTTGCCTTCTCTGCAGTGCCTCTGACTCTGTACGTTCCTCCAGTCAGAAGCCTAAACCCCTTCGTGGAGACCATGGAGGAACTCCTCTCCGAATCAAGAACTCACACCAATAGGGTATACCCACGTGTCCGAGATCTTTGGTTGAGGATCTTGGATTGCTTTCTTTGCAGCAGAACCACAAGGTAGATACATATACATATATATGTCTGTATATATTTATATTTACAGATTTTGATTTCAGTTGGTACCATGTAGTCAGCTACTATCACAAACCAATATCTGAAACATGTTTCAGATTTTGTGTTTTTGTTTTTCCTTTTTGTGGTAAATAAGGTCTGAGTGATGGTGGTGGCGTTGTTGGTGTTTGTCCGACCGGATTATTTGTTTGTGTTGTAAAAATTCAGTCTTGTAATTTCATCATTTCATAAGAATCTTTTCCATGGCAATTGCAGAGGTGATCTGTTTATTGATTTCTTTTTTTTTTCTTTTTTTTTCCTCTCTGTCGTAATTTTAGAGCAACTTACATGATACTGGTACACCGTCATTTTAGCAGCATATTGTCTACAAACACATGTGAACAAAAACAACATATGTTATTTTACCATTGGACAGTGACGGTGCCCCTGTGTCATGTAAGTCCTTAAGTTGTTAGGTATACATGACATAATCTGGATTTTAGAATCTGTGTTGTCATGGGCAGCTGGGCTCATAGCTAGTTAATAGTCATGATTTGAGTATTAAAACTATGGTTATGGACTTCATAGCTTCTTAAGTTATTAAGAGTTGGATGGTCTTTGTTTGTTGTTATACAACGGATATTGAGGGGAGTCAAACACAGAACTTTTCAGGCTCAAAGTGCGGGATCAATGCTCTTTGCCGCTCGAGCTATAAGCCGCTTGCTTCTAGAGTTGGATGGTCAAGAATTGCGTATGTGATTGTTCTTAGATTTTTTTGAGGATTAGTCTTCATTGTTTAGCCCTATGTGTACGGAAATTATAGGACGATAATATAAGAAGAAACAAAGGAACAAAGTGTGAACTTAAGTGGCATTAACTATGCTAAATTGATAGTGAGAGAGTTGTCTAAGTTACGAACTGAAGCAGTCCTTTTCTAAGATTCAATTTCGGAAGACCGGAAGAGGTCTTAAGCTTGAATCTTTTTCAGATTCGTCTTACTTTTTCGAGTTGAGTCTCTGAAGATCAAAAGATGTCTCAAGTTCGAATATCTTTCTTATTGATTAAAAAACGGCGGATAAGTACAAAATTAATGTTTTCTTGGTACCTCAATCATAGATTTTGTAGCCAAGGACAAAAAGAAGACGGAACAAAAAAAAAAAAAAAAAGGGAGGATGTGAGGGGGCCAGGTGGGTTATGATCTCTATCTGGATTAGGTTGAGAAGGTTTAGCGGTTTGTCATTGTTGGTTTATGGTTGCCATCTATATTAACTTTGGTTGCTAAAAATCTTAACTTTTGTTGCTAAAAAAATAATAGAAACTTATATATGTGTATATATTATGTTTACAGATTTTGATTTCAGTTGGTACCATTTAGTCACAAACCAATTTCTGAAACATGTTTTCAGATTTTATGTTTTTGTTTTTCCTTTTTGTGGTAAATAAGGTATGAGTGATGGTGGTGGCGTTGTTGGTGTTTGTCCGACCGGATTATTTGTTTGTGATGTAAAAATTCAGTCTTGTAATTTCATCATTTCATAAGATCTTTTCCATGGCAATTGCAGAGGTGATCTGTTTATTGATTTCTTTGTCTTTTCATTTTTTCCTCTTTCTTGTATTTTTAGAGCAAGAGGTCGCACTTGGTGTGATGGTAAGTGCCTTTGCCCATGAGCGGTAGGTCTCGGGTTCGAGACTTGGGAGCAGCCTCTCCATAAAATGGGGGTAAGGCTAGCCGACATTCACCTCTCCCAGACCCTGCGTAAAGCGGGAGCCTTGTGCATTAGGTACGACCTTGTATTTTTAGAGCAACTTACGTGATACTGGTATACCATCATTTTAGCAGCATATTGTCTACAAACACATGAGAACAAAAACAACATATGTTCCTTTACCATTGAACAGT